ATTTGCATGCGAGTGCTGGGGTGTACGTACACACCCCAGCACTCGCATGCAAATATCAAATATTTGGACTCACATTCGGAAAAGTGAATTTCTTCCTTGATTTTATTCCAACCTTCAAGAGCTGGAAACAAACTTAGTTCTGCAATTTGCAACTCCCTTTCAGAAGTAAACACGTCGCAGCCCTCTTGCTGCAGCTGCTGCAGCAGCTGCTGCTGTTGCTGCGGCTGCTCTTCTTGCTGCTGCAGCTGCTGTTCTTGCTGCTGCAGCTGCTGTTGTTGCAGCTGCTGCTCATGCTGCTGCAGCTGCTGATCCTGAAGCTCCTGTTGCTGCAACTGCTCCTGAAGCCGTTGCTGTTGCAGCTGTTGCTGAAGCTGCAGTTGTAGCTGCAGTTGTAGCTGCAGCTGTTGCTGCAGCTGTTGCTGCAGCTGTTGCTGCAGCAGCACCTGTTCGTGCAGCGGTTGCTGCTGCAGCTGTTGGTGGAGCTCCTGTTGCGTCTGCAGCCGTTGCTGCAGTTGCTGCTGCGCCTGTTCCTGCAGCTGCAGCTGCATCTTTTGCTTGAGCTGCTGCTGCACCTGCACCTGCTGCTGCTGCTGCAGCTGCTGCTTCAGCTGCTGCTGCACCAAGGGATCTACTTTCCGGCAATAAGTCCCATCAGGATTTAATTCAAAACGCGCAACAAATGGAGGAGGCGCCGTCTTCTTCCCCAGGTAGCCGTAGGGCTTCGGCTGCAGCAGCAGCAGCAGCAGCAGCAGCAGCACCAGCAGCAAGGACAGTGCAAACACATGCAGCAGACGCAACCCATTTTTGGCGGAAAAACATTTTTTTATCTAAATCTGCATTAGAAATAAATAATTAAAATGACTAATTAATAAAAAACAAAAGATCTGAAAGCAAACAATTCAGGTGTACGTACACCCCGCGCCTCGTCCTGACTTCTTCTCCAGGAAATGTTCTTGAAAACAGGATAATCCATTTTCTTTCCAGTGGCCTGCAGCAGCAAAATAAGTGTTTTAGTTAGTTAAAAAGAAAGTAAATTGAAAAGAAATTAATTTTAAAAAATCCACTTTTTATTTTGCAGCAGCAACTCACGTGGTCTATTGGATAGTAGATTTGTCTGCTGTAGTTCACAGATTTGTAGGGTGCTGCGGTGGCAGCAGCAGCAGGAGCTGCTGCTGCTGCTGCTGCTGCAGCGGGAGCTGCAGCAATTTCTGCAACTTCTGCAGCGGGTGCTGCAGCAGCAACAACGGGAATTGCTGCAAATTCTGCTGCCTCAACTGTTGCAGCGGGAACCACTGCAACTTCTGCAGCAGGAGCAGCAGCAGCTGCTGCTGCTGCAGCTGCTGCTGTTGCAGCAGAACGAAGATTGGCAGCAAACACTTCCCTCTTTATCCGCAGATATTCCCTAACTGCTCCTAATCGAATTTCTAAACTGAGAGCTTCTTCTCTTGTGCGTGCTGGTCTCTCGAGTCTTTTTTGTTCTTCAGCAGCAGCAGCCTCTTTTGCTGCTGCAGCACCGCGTGCTGCAGCTGCTGCAGCACCGCGTGCTGCAGCTGCTGCAGCACCCTGTGCTGCAGCAGCAACGCCGAACAGCTTTTGCTTGGGCACACTTCTGAAGGGCTAAAACGCAAAAGAATGCAAAAGAGAAGCAAAAGCAGCACCAGTATCAGAAGCCAATTAAGCAGCAGCAGCAGCAGCAGCAGCAGCAGCAATTGTTTCTTACTCTTAGTCGAAGACTGCATCTGTCTCTGTTGAGGCTTCTTCGCTGCTGCAGAGCCTCAGCAACTCGGGCCCAGAGTTCCGGGTTATTTTCCCTGTTTGCTGCTGCGTCTGCAGCAGCTGTTGCTCTTGCTGCAGCAGCTGCTGCAGTTGCTGCTGTTGCTGCTGCTGCTGCTGCCTCCTCTTGCTGCTTCTTTTCCTTGGAAAGCGCCTCTTCCTTTTCTTTTTTGACTTCTTTTATTCTTTCTTCAATTGCCAAACAAAGCGCCGAAAAGAGTGTCGAATAAGATTTGTTTTCTTCTTTTTTTGGACTTTGTGTTTTTGGCAAAGAAAACTCCGAATTGTCTGAAAAGAAAAAAACAAAAAGTTGAATTTAAAAGATTTCAAAAGATTCCCAAAGAGCAAAAGACAATCCGAAGAAGATACTTGCCTAGCTTTCTTCAACTTGAACTGCCGATTCAAACAGTCCACTGCTGCTGCTGCTGCTGCTGCTGCTGAGGATTCAAACGGAAAGCTGCTGCTGCTGCTGCTGCTGGTTTTATGAATGCTTACTCGTGCTGCTGCTGCTGGTTTCTTCGGTCACAGTGCCGCTCGTGGCGGCGGAGCTGATGCTGTCTTTGATTTCGACGGAAGGCTTTGCTGCAGCTGCTGCTGCGTCTTGCAAGCAGCAGACCGTCATTTTCAGCTTTTGAATGAGAATCTGCAAAAAGGAGCGAGATCTGCGCGGAAAACGCACAAAAAAGATGAAATAAAGCTTAAATAGATAAAATAAATTCAAAGTCAACAAAATAAAATCAAAAAGAGATCAAATTAAATCCAAAAAAGAACTTTTCCCCGCTGAATAGTGCAGCGGTCACTGCCGAATATTCAAGTTCAGGGAAACAAGAGGCGATCCGAAGCAAAAAGGAACTTTCTGAGTCTTACGCGTCCCCAAAATGCAAATATTTGAAAATTAAAATATTATTTTGAACAAATATTTCCGGAATTCCGCGAAGTTTCGCCGTTCAGGTTTCGAGTGACGCGGGCTTGTCGGGCGATTCAAGTTGAACTTGGCGAAGCGATGCCGATAAGACGAAAGCGAATTCAGCAATTCAAATAAACAATTCAAATAAAAGATCGAGTTGTTTTCAAAACTATAAATTAAAATTGAATAAAAAGATAAAAGTGAATGACGGACTGCGGCGACTGAAGGCCGCGGCGCGGTGTCTGCTGAGGCGCGGTACACCTGCTAGCCAGGGGGGCCACGGGCCAGACACGGGCGGAACATTCCGTTGAAAACGCGGATTAAATGCTTTAAAAGTGATAAATAGAGTTTTTAAAACCTTTTTTATTCATTTTTGTTCTTTTTAATCTTTTATTTTGAAGCAAAACGGATTTTTTCCCGCTTTTCCACGAGGCGATTTGCCGCCAGTGTCCACCAGTCCAGCGCCGTGTCTTGTTCGGCCTGCATCGGCGCCGGGTGTCGCAGCAGTTTTCAGCTCATTTTGACCTTTTGTCTTCATTTAAAACGTATTTTAAAACTTCATTTAAATTGTTTTTGCGTTTTAAATGCATTGGGGCCTTTATTTCCGCATTTTGGGACTTGTTGCGGCGAAAATGGTGCAGGGCCGACGAAGGTCACCATATTGAGGCCTCTCCAGACATTGGAAACTTGTCCGGATAAGTCCATTCTTATTTGAATTTAAATTCATTTTAGTTTAATTTTGAATTAACTTTAATTCAATTTTAAATTTATTTTAATTTGTTTCGATAAGTTCGTTATTTTGTGCCTCATTTCGCAGCAAAGACCTCTCGAATGCAGGAAGACAGATGTGTCTCATTTGAGAAGCAGCAGAATATTGAAAACATTTCGGGAAATAAAATAAAATCTGCTGCATAATAAAGTTAAATTAAATAAATAAAACTGTCAAGTTTTTGTCTTCAGAGAAAAGAGCATCTTTGCAAAAAGCCCTGCAATAGGACAGTTGAATAATATATATATATATATATAAAAGACTTTCTTAGGAAGCTCTTTAAGTTCAATAGCTGCATCAAATCTTTCGAGAATTACAATTAAACAATTTTTTAATTCATTAATTGATAAATAAAAGATTTGTAAATGAAAAAAACTAAATGGAAACTTCCAGAAATAAGGGCTCAAGAAATCCTCCAAGAAATGCCCACGGCAGGCTTCCCTGCTGTACGTACACCGCAGCGAATGTGGAATGTCTGCTTCAGCTTTCGGGTGTACGTACACCGCAAGAAACGAAAAGAAATGTTCTGAGCCCCCCTCTGGGGGCCCCTTTGGGGCCCCTTTGGGGCCCCTTTGGGGGCCCCTCTGGGGCCCCTTTGGGCCCCTTTGGGGGCCCCTCCGGTGCTGCAGAGTTCGGGGTTTCTGCTGCGCTGGGGTGTACGTACACCTGAGGGCTGCAGCAGACGCTCCCTGTTTGCTGCGGTGTATGCACACCTGCCAAGGCTGCCGTGGCATTTCAAAAGCGAGAAAAGGAAAAGAATTATTTTTTATTTATTTAATTATTTATGATTTTTTTATCCTTTTCTTTTAATTTTTAAATTAAAAACACCTTTTATTCTTTTGTTCTCAGGAAGAAGAAAAGGAAAACAATTCGAAACCTTTTATTCATGCATGCAAAATTAAAAAGAAAAAAAGAAATTCAAAAGACAATTCGCAACTTAGTGTAACTACACCTTCTAAAACATGAAATTACAACAAAAAATAAATATATCAATATATATGAACATGTGCAGAATTGCAAATACATTTCAAATAAATAAATAAATAAATATTTATTTATTTATTTATTTATATCTTTCTATTTGAGAAAGAAAATAAAAAGGAAAAAGACTTTTTATTTGCTGCAGCAATTCATTTTTGCTTCTGCAGAGAAAAGGCGCTGCAGCTGCAAATTTTCTTTTTTCTTTTCTTCTCTTTTTCTTTTGACAATGGCTTGTTTATATCTTTGAATAATAATAATAATAATGGTAATTATAAGAGTAATAATAATAATAATAATTATTATTATTATTGTTAATAATTATTATTAATGTTATTATTATTATTATTATTATTATTATTATTATTATTATTATTATTATTATTATTATTATTATTATCATCTCTATAATTACAATTAATTCTTTTTTATTTTTACTTTTTTGAGAGGCAAAAGAAGACAAGAGGCAGCCGCCTGCATATTAAAAATATATTTTTATGTTTTTGCAATTTAAAGTTTCGGGAAACAAGCATTTATAATTATATTTAGAAGTATATATTCATTTCATTCAAATGGGCTTTTAATTTATTTAAATTAATGAGCTTTAAATTAATTCAAATAAATCAGGTTCATGGCGTTTTGGGGTGTATGTACACCCCAAGCCTCACGCAGCAGAGTCGAAATATTTTGAAATGAAATTCTTTTCATTTCCTTTCTAATTTGCTTCATTTAAAAGGCCTAAGTGTCTTTTTAAACTGTGAAAGAACTAATTCTTGTCTTATTTCTCTTTTATTTTTTTAAATGCAAAAGAATGCAAAAGTTTACACCGCGTAGGGTGTACGTACACCTGGGCGCTGCTCCACGTGGTGGTCTTTCTGTCACTTTTTTTTGAATCTTTGCTCCTTTGTTATTTCAAATGTATGCCAATATATGCATACAGATTACACATGTATATGTATATATATCATATATATATATATAAATATATATATATATATATTTATATATATAATATGAATATGTATATATGCATATATGAGTATTGTATGTATCCAAATGCATACACATATGTAGGTATATATATATATGTACCTCCATGGATATATATATTTATATATATGTATATATATATATATAAATATATATATATATTTATATGTACATATATATAAATATATATGTATATATATATATACATCAGTATATATATAAATATATATATATATATATACTGATGTATATCTATACAGATATGTATATATATATATATACATATATATTTATATATATATACATATATTAATATATATATATGTATATATGTATGTACACAAATATTCAGCTACGGCACACAGAGCCATAGCAAGAGTGGCTGAACATTAATAGAGATATCTTTAAAAACAAATATAAATAAATTAAAGCTTAAACAGAAAAATGTATTTCTTTTTGCTGCTCTTTTATCTGTCAATTCAGGCAGGCTCGAGCAATTAATGTATATTTCATTTAAACCTAAAAGCTTTGTAGCAGCAGCAAAAAGGCCACCTTCTACAAATGCGGGCATGCTAACGTGCATGCATGCATTTCGTTGAATCTGCGTGCATGCATGCATGCACGCATGCATGCATGCACGCATGCATGCATGCACGCATGCATGCATGCATGCATGCATGCATGCATTTCGTTGAATCTGCGTGCATGCATGCATGCACGCATGCATGCATGCATGCATCTCGTTGAATCTGCATGCATGTATGCATGCATGCAAATTGAGAAAGGTCTTTACATCTGTCTAAGTGTCAGAAAAAGTTCTTGCAAATTTGCTCTTTTGAATACGGTCCGTTTCAAAGCTCAGGTGTACAGACACTCGGTGATTGCTGGTGAATTTGATTAAATTCCATAAAGAGATCTGATTACTTTTATTATTTGCCTTTTTCCATATTTGTTGTCTAAATAATTGCAGAAAGAGTATATATATATATATGTACGTATGTATATGGTACTTCATGGCTTTTGAAATCACGATGAATTCTCATCTTGAGACTCCAAAAGAAATTCTTCTTTTTCCCTGCTACGAACTAAATAAAATAAAACTAAAATTAAAAACGCGAAAGTCTAAAAGTATCCTTTTCAACTTCCGTAGTGCTACAACGTGGTCCCTGGAATCTGAACTCATCTGAACAATTAATATTCGATTTGAACTGCAAAAAGCTTAAAACAAATTAACAAACACGAATTGGTTTGCAATTAAAATAAATAAAATAAAACTTCTGAGCCGACAGACAAGTTTTGTCGTTTTGCCCTTTTGCAATATTCAAGAACCACGAGCTGTACGTACACCGCAAATGCGAACACTTGCATTCAAAACATTTCCCCAAAACGAATTTTTGTGCATCCTCCTCTTTTAAAAAGAATAAAACAAATTAAAAACGAATATTTGGACAATTAAAACCACAATTAATTCAAATAATAAAATAAATTAATTCAAAAAAATTAAAATCATTTGCTCGCGCCCTGAGTGCTGCTCGAACTCCCGGGTGCCCCATTACCCTGAAAACAAAAAGAGCAGCAGTTTTTAATAAATTAAAACAAACAATAAAATTAAATAAATAAATAAATACATAAAAATAATAACAACAGCAAAAACAAACACTCACATGGGAAAGAAAATCCGAAATGAGCCAACAACCAAAGGAGAGAAGAGAAGAAACAAAGAAGAAGAAAACGGCTGCTCTCGAAGCACTAAAGGGGCGCAGCAGCAGCAGACAAGGCGCAGCAGCAGCAAACAATCAGCAGCAGCAGCAGCAGCAGAGGCTGCGCAGCAGCAGCAGCCTGGATCTTTGGAATCCAGACTTCGAGTCGAAACAAAACAAAGAATTAAAACAATAGAACAACTCAAGTGTTCTTTAATTTCTCACTTGTTTTCCCGCAACAAAGACACTTGTGTTCCACTGCAGGGGCCTCCGGGGGGCCTCGAGAGCAGCAAGAAGAGCAGCAGTTTCTGCTTCCAGAGAAATTGCTGCTGCTTTCGTTTTCACTTTTCTGTTTTTCCTTTTTTGCATTTCTTGCCGCAGCAGCGCAGCTTTCTGCAGCCGGCTTTGCGCATTGGCAGCAGCAGCAACGGCCGACACTGCAGCAGCAACTGCTGCTGCCACCGTCGGCGCCGCAGCAGCGGCGGGCGCCGCAGCAGCAGCAGCAGCAGCAGCAGCAGCAAACGATTCCGGAGAAGGCAGCGGAGCTGGAGGGGCGTCGGGAGTTTTCGGATTTTCAAAAGTTTGCAAAGGAGAACTGAAATGAACTGTCTTCCGAACTTCCGCCAGAGGAGCAACGGGAGATTCCACGTAAACTTTTGCTGCTGCTGCTGCTGCTGCTGCTGCTTCCGCTGCTTCTGCTGCTGCTTCTGCTTCTTCAGCTGCTGCTTCCGCTGCCTCTGCTGCTTGCTCTGCCACGTCCTTCTCCACGCAACTTTCAAAAACCTGAACGCAAAGACATCCGCAACACTGCAGCAGCAGTTAATTTGCTGCAGCAGCAGTTAGTTTGCTCCAGCAGCATATCATTAAAACGCTGCAGTAATTGGTTGAAGTGCTGCTGCAGTATTTGATTGAGCTGCAGCAGTTGAACAAAATGCTGCCGCAGCAGTTGAATAAAATGCTGCTGCAGTAATTAATTAAAGTGCTGCTGCAGCAGTTGAATTAAACGCTGCTGCAGCAGTTGAATAAAGCGCTGCTGCAGCAGTTAAATAAAATTCTGCTGCAGTAGTGATGCCGCTGCAGCAGTTGAAATGCTGCTGCTGCTGCTCACTGGGCTGCTGCTGACGCTGCAGCAAAACTCACTTCTGATTGATTGTTTGGCTTGGTGCTAATTTGTTTGAAGACCGAAGAAAGCCATTTGCTGCTGGTCTGCAGCAAACAAAAGAAAACAGAAAAACTTGAAATCATTTTTAATCTTCATGAATAAAATAGAAAAGATCGGAAGCAGATCATTTGCGAGGTCTGACCTTTTTCTCGGATTCAGAATTGGCCTTTTCAGGTTCAATTAATTCGCAAAGAGCTTCTTCTTGCTGCACTGCGTTGGCAGCAGCAGCAGCAGCAGCAGCAGCACGAGGCTGGTGCGCTGCAGCAGGCACCAAGGCCGCATCCTTTTTGTCTTGTTCTGCATTTGCGGAATTGTTTTTTGGTTTTAAAATGCATTTGCTGGCGAGAATTTTGAAGGACTTTTGCTTGAGGATCTTTTCTTGAACTGCTGCGTACAGCGCGGCCACCAGAGCTGCCCGCGAAGAGGAATCTTGTTCAGGTTTCGGAGTTGAATTTTTGGGATTTGTGGAATTTTGAGCTGCAAAACGCGGGAAAAAAAGAAAAATAGTTTTAAAAATAAGAAATACTAGTTTTGAGGGGGATTTGAGCTTCGTTTCGAGCGGTTTCAGCACTCGATTCTGCGCTGTCTTCTTGAAATGCTCGAGATCTGCTGCTTCCGCCTCACTTGATTTCAAAAGACTTCCAGCAGCTTTCGAGGAAGAAGAAGTTCCTTCTTTCGATTTCAAACGCGCCTCGTAAAGCGGTGCAAGCTTGGACGGCAGCGACAGCGTCATTTTTGAACTTGGGCAATTCAAGTTGAATTGGCGTTTCTGCAAATCACGGAAAGCGGCGGAAATGCCCTTTTAAACGGGAAAGAAAGACAATCGGAGAAGTATTTACTCGAATTGGTTTTGTTTTCAAGACTTGTTCATGTTTTCAGTTGATCAGAGGCCGGCAGTGACGCAACGAGAATGCTGAGATCGCCGAAGACGAAGTGACCACTTCGACGCTTACTTGGTACTTGACGGAGAGCTCTGCAGACTTGTCGAAACTGAATTTCAAAAGTTGAATTTGTTTTTGCAAAAGAACAAATTGGAGGTTTTCAGTTGATCGCTGGCGAGATTTTCAGGCAATTATGCAGGCGATGACGAAGGACCTGGTCCGATGCAATTCAAGACAACGCGAAGCGGATTCAAGAATCGATTTCGAAGAAAGAATGCGAAATGCAAGATGTATAAGATGAAGATCTCACTTTTGTTTGCAAAAGAAGAGTAAAGTAAAGTCCGAAAGTATAAATGAATGAAGGTCTGGGCCTGCGTCTGCCGCGCCGCAGACACTGGCCACGCCTGCTAGCCAGCGGGGCCCGGGTGTCCATTCAGCTTTCCGGTCTGAGCCCTCTTGAAGGCTTTGAACGAAATCTTCGCAAATTCAAATTCAGTTTATATTTCAAATGCAAAATTGAATTCTTCTTCATCCAAATAAAGCCAATTAAAGTGCGCTTTCCGAGCGCAAACCCGCAGCGCTCGTGTGCACAGGTTCTGTCTTGATCGGCTTTGTCGGCCTCAGGAACGCGAAGGCACTTGCGAGCTTCCAGCTTTCCAAACCAGTTCAAAACGTCAAAAATATCTTTTATTTCATAAATCAATTTAAATTAATCGAAAATATCTTTTATTTCATCTAAATTGTACTTTTTAGCTGCACCGTCACTGCAGCAGATAGGACCGAGCTTTCCGCCCACCGAGACAGACAGCAGCGCGGCCGCAGCCGCAGCTGTCTGCACAAGTAAAAGACCCTGAAAGATGAAACTTGAAAGATTTGAAGATCTAATCCACCTTTTAAGAATACCTAATTCATCTTCTAGAGTTTTCGCCGGCTCAGCCAGCCCCCAAAGTTCAAATTTGGCGGAAGCCAGCAGCAGCAGCAGCAGCTGCTGCTGCTCGAAATTCCGTGCAGAACGAGAAAGTTCACTTACAGGTGAAGAGGATTTCGCATTGAAGAGGCCAGAGAGTGAAGCGACGTGCTGCACTAAGCAGCAGCAGCAGCAGCAGCAGCAGCAGCAGCAGCGGAGGTGCACATCAGCTCCGCTGCTGCTGCTGCCAGCACTAGACTTCGCTTGAAACGCGTTTTGCAGATTTTGCAAAACTTGAATTACAAAGGCCCGCGGAGATAACAAACAAAGCTAACCAACCAACACAGGAAATAACAAATAACAATAAATATACAAGTATAAATATATAAATATAAATATAAATATAAACATAAATATAAATATAAATATAAATATAAATATATAAATAGAAGTACATAAATATAAATATATGTGTAAATATACTTATAAATATGTTTGTTTATTGTAAATGCAATAAAACCAGAAACAAACAAAAGCTGCATGCGCTTCACATGCGAGCTATTATGGGGAAGAGGGCCAGCAGGGACTTGCGGCTAAATTGCCTGAAGAGGAAAAAGAAAGAATTAAATTAAATAATTAAATTTGAAGTTAATTTAATTCATTTTAAGTGAATTAAATTGCAATTGAGGCGTCCAAACATTTGAAATTCGAATTCAATTAAATAAGTTAAATTTAAAACTAATTTGATTCATTTTAAACGAATTAAATTGCAACTGAGGTGTCCAAACATCTGAACTTTCTCTTTGAATTGCATTTAAATTGCAATTAAATTCAAAGTTTTAAAATTGAATTCAAATTGCATTTTAATTTAAATTTTAAAATTGAATTTAAATGCATTTTAATTCAAAGTCCACTCACTTCGCGTGCTGGGCATTTGGCTGCGACGCCTCCAAGAGCGCCGCGTGGCGGAACTTGTGGATTTTGTTCAAGAACTCCTGCGGGGGTAGAAACAAAGAAAAACAAAAGAGAAAAGCAAAAAATAAAACAAAAATTGCATTTGAATTCAACTAAAAGTCGAAATGAAAGCACTATTGCCCTCTTTGTCGCCGCAAAAACGCGAAATTCAACTTTCCCGAAACTTGAATTCCAAATTTCAAGTTTCAGATTTCGTTTTGCAAACTGAAAAAAACCCTCACTTGCAAATGCGCCTCCTCACGGTACTGCGGCGTCAACTCCAGCAAAGTGTCTTTGTCGGTTTCCGTCGAAGTTCCTCCGTTTGCTTTCCGCAGAACTCCAAACGCAACGAAGCCGTCTATGGCGCGATTCAGAGTGGAAAAAGAAGTGCTTTCGTAGTAAGACTGCACAAAAAGGAAAAAATAACATAGTTCCCGAAAAACTGGCAAAAAAACATTTAAAAGCCTCAAATATAAGTCAATTTGAGAAATTTCAGCTCGGGACTTGGAAAATTGAGGTGTACAGACACCCCAGGAAGCGGAAACGTGAAATCAGGTTCGGTTGCGGCGCGCCAGTTTTATCTTAATTGAACACGAATGAATGCGGATCCAAACTTGAATTAATAATTATCATTTTAAATGCCTTCTTTACTTCTCCTTTCTGCATGATTAGCTTACAATAATGCCTTCTTTGCACAGACCGTCAGCAAGCCAGTGCGCCCGCGCCACCAGCTGCTGCTTCCTCAGTTGCGGCGTCGTCAACTTCAGCGCCATTTCTGATTTGAAATAAAAAAAGAAAAAATAAAAAACAAACTTTTGGATGTACAGGTATCATTTCTAAAGGCCCCTGTTCTCTGGATCAGGAAGACACGAAAACAGAAAAGCAGCAACTCCGGCGCATGCAAGACTGCGGGTGTACGTACACCTGAAACTGCGCAGCCCGGCCCTTTGAATTGCCAGTCTCAACGCAAAAAAGAAATAAAGCAATTCCAATCCTTTTTGAATTCAATAAGACACAATTCCGCAGCTTTTTGCCGCGCTTAAGCGGAAAAGGAGGAGAAAAAAAGAGGATTCAACTCCGGAAATCAGAAGAAGCTCACCGCCGGGGGAGTGGCTCTGCAAAGTGAACAAAGTGTTTCCCAAGGCCCAGACGCTGTCCACAAAAGGCCACAAAAAGCTGCAAAGAAGAAGAACTAAAGCTTCTTGTTCAGAATTGAAAACCAAGTTTTCCTTTTCTGCAGGGCCCCCCTGCCGCAGCAAGATCTTCCGCTGCTCCATCAGATCTAAAACCTGAAAAGGAATTCATTTAAAAAAGAAAAAGACCCTAACTATCCAGTTTCACAGGGAAGCTGTTCGAACTGCAGCAGCATTGCAGCAGCGTTGCAGCAGCAGCATTGCAGCAGCAGCATTGCAGCAGCAGCAGCACTGCAGCAGCAGCAGCATTGCAGCAGCAGCACTGCAGCAGCAGCATTGCAGAAGTAGCAGCAGCACTGCAGCAGCAGCAGCATTGCAGCAGCAGGGAGTGCGGACGGCTTCGAAGGTGTCTTCGTTGACTTTGCCGGCGTAGACGAAGTGGCAGCTGAGGAGCTTCAGGAGAAAAGCTGCATGCGCTTTGATGGCGGAGAGGGGGGCCCCCCTGGAGAAGGCCAGGGGGCCCCCCGCAGCACTTAAGGCCAGCGCAGCAAACCCTTCATTTGCAAAGACATGCATGCACTGGTTGCGGTAGTAGGCCAGCAGCAGGCGCGGCAGGTGCATGCGGAGGGGCCCCGGGGGGCCCCCGGGGGGCCCCCCGGGGGCCCCCGGGGGGCCCCCCCCGTACCCTCCCGCCACGCACCAACCCTCGCCTTTGGCCTCCGCCACATTTTTCAAATAGCGACCCAAAGCTGTTCGAACTGCTGCAGAAGGGTCATAAGAAAAGCCGCAAATGTAGGGACTCAAGAGGCCCCCGCGCTGCAGCAGCAGGTCGCGCAGCCAGGTCACCTGCGATATCTGCAGCAGCAGCAGCAGCAGCAGCAGCAGCAGCAGCAGCGCTGCAGCAGGGGCGCGCGGGGAGTCCGGGGCCGTTTTCCGCGGGGACTTTTCGGGGGAGGCTCCGGAGCTGAGGACTGGAGGGTTAATTGAAGAGCTGGAAGAATTAAAAGAATTTAAACTTGAAAAATAAAACGAAAAGAAGAATTAAAAGAATTTAAACTTGAAAAATAAAACAAAAAAGCTAAATTGAGTGAAACGAACCAAGTCTTCTTCGCGAATCCCGTCCTTGTGCAGCGCCAACACTGTGGCCACCAAAGAGGTCGCCGTCACGTAAAGCCCTTCGCTCAACTTCTCCATCAACGTCGACGCCAAGTGGCGACAAATCTGAAAAACAAATTCAAAATAAATTCAAAGTAAATTCGAAAGTGCCAAAACGGACTCAAAAGTGCCAAAACTGATTTCAAAATGCCAAAATTAGTTCAAAAATGGCAAAAAAATCCAAAAATCTCAAAATTCTTCCCAAAATTAAAAGAAATTCAAAAAACAGCATTTGGCGGCCAATTCAGGCTCTGGAGTGTACAGACACCCCAAAACTTGCGGGTTCTTTCTCCAGCCAACAAATAAATAAATCAATCAATCAATCAATGAATCAATAGATAAATTAAAAAATAATTTAATTTATGATGAAGAATAATAAATTACAAAAAAATAGATGAAAATGAAATGTTCAACAAGTCTGACACGCAAGAAGGCAAGCAGTAAACCCTAAACCCTAAACCCTAAACCCTCAAAGGCAGCTGGAGCAGTAGAAAGGGAATTCCAAAAGAAGCAAATTAAAAAGTGTCAAGATCTTTGCACACTGCATATCCTGCACGCATTTAGGGTTTAGCGTTTGTGAGGGTTTAGGGTTTGTGAGGGTCTAGGGTTTGCTAGGGTTTCGGGAAACCCCGAAAAAAGGTTTGGTGAGTCAAACAAAAAACTTGAAATTATTTACTTTTCTCTTGAGCTCTTCTGGCACTGGAGGCAAAGAGCCGCTGGCCCGAAGCACAGCAAAACTATTAGGGTTTGTGGGTTCTTGCTGCTCCTCCTCCTCCTCCACCTGCTGCTGCTGCTGCTGCTGCTGCTGCTGCTGCTGCTGCTGCTGCTGCTGCTGCTGCAGCTGCGGCTGCCCCGTGAGAGTGGGCAAAGAGCCAAACTGCGCCATGGGAGAAACGCAGGAGTGGCGAAGGGCCCCCAGCAAGGGTTTGAGGGGCCCCTCATCGGCCCAGTTGGAAAAGAGATAATCCTGAAAACAAATAAATAATTGAATTGAATTAAATTAATTATTCAATTAAATCAGTTAAATTAAATTAATCAAATTAGTTAAATTGTTTTAATTCAAAAGCTCTAAAAATCCGACGCTAAAAGAGCCCCGCAAACCCCAGACACCAGCAGCAGATAAGCACCAGAAAACGCCACGCAACCCTAAACCCTAAACCCTAAACCCTAAACCCTAAACCCTGAAGCCTGGCTGCTGAGACTCAGACGCCATACCCGCGTGCCTGCAAGCGTGCACGCCGTAACCCCTCTAACCCCAAACCCCAAACCCTAAACCCCATACCCCAAACCCCAAACCCTAAACCCTAAACCCTAAACCCTCACCCTGAAGCTCATGGGGGGCATGACGTTGACGCTGGCGGTTCCGAAGGGTCTGTAGCCGGGCCCGAACTGCGGGGCCAAACCCCTAGACCCTGGCGAGGGTTTGAGGGTTTGGTGGTAGGCGGGAGCAGCAAAGAGTTTCGTGGCTTTCAGAACGCGGCTCAAACCCTAAAACAGCGGATAGCGCGCACCCCCCGCAGCCGCGCCAAACCCTAAATCGCGGTTTGCGACGCGTCCTAAACCCTAGCAACGAAGCAAGGGCCTCTCGAGGCCAGAAAAAAACCAATTCAAACCAAACAGCTCTAGCCCCGCCCTGCAAACCCTAAAGCAGGGTTTAGCCACCCTTTGCAAAGCAAACAAGCGAACCCCCCAAGCCCTCGAAAGCGAAAGCGCTGCAGCCATTCCAAGCCCCCGCGCGGCGGGCGCGGCGGCGTCGAGGGGCCGGGGAGCGAAACCCTTTTTTAGGGTTTGGCGGCGCGAACTGACCTCCGCCTTCTTCGGCTCGCCCAGAAGCTCCTGCGGAAACGTCTCCGCCTCCAACACTCTGTCGTAAGAAATCGAAATCGGAATAAATAAAACTTCGGAGACGGAGCCGCTGAAGAGCATGTCGGCGGCGCAGGAAAGCAGCCCCAGCTTCGGGGGCAGCATCAGTCCTGCATGCAGACAGGCCCGAGGGGCCGCTTTTGCGCGGCTTTCGGTTTTCTTTCCGTTTATTTCGTTTTATTTCCGTTAATTCCATTTATTTCAAACAATTTCCACCAATTTCGAGGAAAAACGAACAAAAACGACGCCCGACGAGCCCAGATACACCCCGCACCAAATTCTCGGGTGTACGTACACCCCGTGCTCAACGCATGCAAACCGCGCTTTCCGCCATGTTCGACGAAACTGAAATTTAAATGTATTTTAATGCATTTTTAACATACTTAATGCATTTTAAATGTACTTTAATGCATTTCTAACACAATTAATGCATTTTAAATGTACTTTAATGCATTTTTAATATATTTAATGCATCTTAAATATATTTTAATGCATTTTTAATATATTTAACGCATTTTAAATGTATTTTAGTGCATTTTTAACGTATTTAATGCGTTTTTAATATATTTAATGCAATTAAAATGGATTTAGTGTATTCAAAATGGACTTAATGCATTTTAATATATTTAATGCATTTTAAATGTATTTTAATGAACTTTTAATATATTTAATGCATTTAAAATTTATTTAATGCATTCAAAATATATTCAATGAGTTAAAAATATATTTAAATGCATTTAAAAGCATTTAATGCATTTACAATCTATTTAATGCATTTAAAAAGAATTAATGCATTAAAATGTATATAAATGCATTTAAAATATGTTTAAATGCAATTAAAATGTATTTAAATGCATTTAAAAGGAATTAATGCACTTAAACATTTACACTGGCACTTTTGCATGCAAAAGCTTTTCTTGAAGTTCTGCAGAAATTCTTTTTTCATTTTTCTCAAAAGGGGAATAAGTTTTTGGAAATTAAATTGCAAATAAATAAAAGGAAGATTAAAATGGCAAACAAATAAAAAGAAATAATAAAAGGGCAAATAAGTAAAATGAACGAAAGACTAAAATGATATATATAGAAAGAATACATTAAATCAAAAGAAAGATTAATATGCTAAATAGATAAATGCAAGAAATAAAAAACTTAGAGGGGTAAATAAATAAAAGAATAAATAAAATTCAAAAAGACTAAAATGGTTGAAAGGGTAAATAAAAAGGGAAAAAGGAAATGAAAAACAAAAATAGAAAAAAACAAAAGGAGAAAAATGGATATTTAATAAACTAGAAAAGAAAGAGGACTTTTAAATGAACAAAGACAAATAAATAAATAATAAGAACAAAAGAGGTTTGCAAAGAAAAAATCCACAAAGAGACAAATACACCAAATAAAAGCAAACTAAAAACGCCAAAACGTAAACAAAAAAGAAATAAAAAGAGGAATCAAACAAGGAAACAAAAAGGAAATAAAAAGGAAGCAAAAAGCAGAGAAAGAGGAGCTCAAAAGAGGAGAAAAAGGACCAAAAAAGACCAAAAAAGAAAAAAATAAAAAACAAAAATAAAAATGCACCTGTTTTGCTGCGGCCGCCCTCGAGAAAAACCTCGAGGACTCCGTATCTGCGTGCGACGCATTTGACGAAGAGTTGGAGAAGAACTTTTTTGATTTTTGGAATTATTTCTTTTTCCAAACTTTCTCCTTTTCCCCTTTCGCCCCCCCGCGACACGAAAAAGGCCCCCGCCCTCCGCAGCAGCTGGTGGGCCATTCGAATGGCCCCGAAGGCTTCGTCTGCGGCGATGAAGGGCAGCGGCACTCCGTAGGTGAAGCAGATGTAGGAAACCAGCAGGAAGTCCTGCAGACGCAGTCCCGCGCGACAGGGAGCCCGCAAACTCAAAATGTTCTCCTTTTTTAGTTCAAAAATCCAAAAAAAACGATAAAAAACCAACAAAAATGAAGAAATTCCAAAACCCGAAAGGCCCGCGCGCGCCACCCCGTGCACTGCGCTGTACGTACACCCCAGCGCCCCCCAGGAGCCGGCGGAAAGCGGAGCGGAAATTGGCTCAAAAGAAGGGAAACAAACGCGGAAAAGCATTAAAAAGAAATAAAACAAGAAATAAAAGGCATTAAATGCATCAAATTTGAATTAAATCGGAATTAAACGACTCAAACGGGCACTGTGCGGACCATGTAGCTGCGGTGGGTGGGAAGCAGCAAGACCGGCCCCGCAGCTGTCTGTACAGCTCGTTTCAGCTGCTGCATGTGCGTTTCTTCCACTATTATTCGATCAAATAAAAAAGAAAATGATTTATGAAACAATCCCGCCAAAAGGTAGACCACGTGCGGCTCGATGCTCCCCGCCATCCCGGTGTACATACACTCCACCTCCCTCCACACCTCCCGCTCCACCTCCTCCAGCGCCTCTGCACGACACCCTCAAACCCTAAACCCTAAACCCTAAACCCTAAACCCTAAACCATAAACGCTAATCCCTAAACCCTAGTCCCTAAACCCTAGCAACTAGGACGAAAATGAATTTAAATGCAAAAAGAAATAAATGCAATTAAACACATGCAATTAAATAAATGCAATTAAATAAATGCAATTAAATAAATGCAATTAAATAAATGCATTTAAATAAATGCAATTAAATGCAATTAAATACATGCAATTAAATAAATGCAATTAAATGCAATTAAATACATGCAATTAAATAAATGCAATTAAATAAATGCATTTAAATGAACGCAATCAAATAAATGCGATTAAATAAATGCAATTAAAAAAATGCAAACACATAAAGGCCATTGAATAAAAGCACGAACGCAGTTTCAGAATTTGCAGGGAAGCAAGTGGTTGAAACCCTAATTTAGGGTTTATGTGGTTTGCGTTTGTAGTGGCGTTGGGTTGTTGGTGGGGTGCTGGTGAAACCCTAATTTAGGGTTTAGGGTTTAGAGCGTTGGGGCGCGCCGGTGGTTGTTTGCGATGAAACCCTAATTTAGGGTTTAGGGTTTAGGGTTTGGGCGTGCGCACGGGGTTTGGGGTCTTGTCTTTTCTTTTTGCGGGCGAGGCGGTGGGCCGCGAGGGTTTGGACGAGGGTTTGGAGTTGAGGGTTTTGAAGAACAAACTGGGAAAGGGAAGAAGGGTTTGGCGAGGGTTTGAGGGGCGGAGAAGCTGCGACAAACTGCAGAAATGAAAACCCTCCCAAAACCCTAAACCCTAAAAGAGGGGATATCAACGGAGTCCCCATCAGGTACCGCTGCAGGCAGTCCATGTACAGCAGAGGCGGACTCGGGGGCTCGCAAGCTGCAAATAAATAAATAATTTAACTAACTTAATTACTTTAATTAATTAAATTTAATTAATTAAATTTAATTAATTTAATTTAATTTAATTTAATTTAATTTAATTTAATTAATTAAATTAAATTAAATTAGTTTAGTTTGCTTGATAGGTTTAATTAGTTCGTTTAATTAATCAGTATAATTGTTAATTCATCATACAAATAAATTAACTTAATTAACTCACTTAAGCTAAATAAACAAATAAATAAATAAATAAATAATAAATAAACAATAAATAAATAATAAGTAAATAAATAGGTAAGTAAATAATAAATAATAAATAAATAAATAATAAATAAATAATAAATAAATAAAATGGATAATTACGCATTTTACTTAAATGGTCTGAGGGAGTCCATTTGGAAATTCCAAAAAAAAACCAAAAAGACAGAAAGAAATAAAAAAAAGAAAATGAAAAGAATAAATAAATAAATAAACATACAAACTAAATAAATAAATAAATAAATAAATAATGAATAAATAAATAAATAAATAAAATAATTAAATAAATAACTAAATAAATAATTAAATAATTAATTAAATAATTAATTAAATGGACTGAGGGCTCCTTAAGAAGCCACTTAGCAATCCCGTAAAAGAGTGAAAAAACAAATGGCCAAAAAAGAAATAAAAAAGGAAATAAAAGAATAAAAAGAACAACTAATTAATTAATTAATCAATTAAATAAATAATAAATAAATAAATAAATAATTATTTAATGATTTCACCTGAGGGCTCTTTAAGGAGCCATCCAGCAATCCCACAAAAGAATGAAAATATAAAAACGCAAAAAAGATCAAAAAGGATAAAAAAGTCCAAAAAAAGCCAAAAAAGAACTAAAAAGGGGAGTAAAAGAATAAATAAATAAATAAATGAATAAACAATTGACTGGTCAATTCACTGACCTGAAGGCTTCTTAAGAAGCCATCTAGCAGCTTAACAAAAAGAAATAATGGATGTATAAACAGCCAGAAAAGACCCAAAAAGGACTCAAAAGAGACTCAAAAAAGATCAAAAAAAGACCAAAATGAGTCCAAAAAAAGCCAAAAAGAACTAAAAAAAGGAAGCAAAAAGAATAAAAAGAATAAAAAAGAATAAACAATTAATTGCTGCATCTGAGGGCTCTTTAAGGAGCCATCTACAGATCCCGTAGAAGAAGAGGATGGATGTATAAATAGTCGAAAAAGACCCAAAAAAGACCCAAAACGATCAAAAAAAGCTCAAAAAGAGCCCAAAAAGAGCCAAAAAGGAGCCAAAAAGGGCGAAAAAAGCAGACAAAAAGAACAACTACTTAATTAATTGATTAATTAATTAATTCGCTGACCCGAGGGCTCTTTAAGGAGCCACCTAGCAATTCCGTAGAAGAAATAGTGGATGTATTCTCTCCAGTTGATGTTCTGGACGGAGACGGCCCACTGGGCGCGCTCGTGTGGGGCGAGCATGCGGTGTATGTACACCGCGCTGCGCTGCTCGAAAATCCACTCTTGGTAAGAAAAGGGGTGCAGCGCCTCAGCAGCTTTTTCTGCTTTTTGGAGACCCAGCAGCAGCAAATCCAGCCCCTTCTGCAGCTGCGAAGCAGCAGGAGCCACGCGCCCCAGCGAGTGCCACAGCAGCAAACTCGGCAGCTTTTGCTGCACGAAAAAGCGCCTGCAAACGCCCACAAACGCCGCCTCGCCTGCTGCAGCAGCAGCAGCAGCAGCAGGAAAGCAGCAGCAGCAGCAGCAGGAAAGCAGCAGCAGCAGCAGGAAAGCAGCAGCAGCGGGAAAGCAGCAGAAGCAGCAAAGCTGCAGCAGCAGCAGCAGCAAAGCAGCAGCAGCAAAGCAGCAGCAGCAGCAGCAGCAAAGCAGCAGCAGCAAAGCAGCAGCAGCAAAGCAGCAGCAGCCGCAGCAGGCGGCGAGCAACAACCAGCAGCGCCCGAGCGACGCCAGGAGCACCCCCGGAAGCCCCGCCGCCGCCGCCGCAGCAGCAGCAGCAGCAGCAGCAGCAGCAGCAAACCTTTTGAACTGCTTGAAGTCGGTGTCGAAGAAAGGAGTGGTCATGTGTCTCTTGACTCTGGCGTAAAAGGGACACAACATGTTATACTCTCTTCCGTGGATTAAAAGGTCTTTCCAAAATGTGGGGTTTAAGTCGCTGCTGCAGCAGTGGACCACGTAGACTCCGGGCCTGCCTGCTGCTGCTGCTGCTGCTGCTGCAGCGCCGAGCTCGCAGGGGCCCGCTGCAGCAGCAGCCACCGCCGGCGCAGCAGCAGACGCCCCCACGTGCGCTGCCTGCTGCTGCTGCTGCTGCTGCTGCAGCGGCGGCAGCTCCACGGGGCACAGAATGCAGTTCGGGTCCACGTGGCTTGCTGCTGCGCGCGTTGCTGCTGCAGCGACGCTGTCGTCCGCTGCTGCTGCTGCTGCTGCTGCTGCGCTCCCCGCGCGCTGCAGCAGCAACGCGTTCGAAGCAGCAACAGCAGCAGCAGCAACAATCAAAGAATCCGCAACCACATCCACAGGCACTTGGTCGCCAATGAATTCAGGGTTTGCAGGCAAACACCGCAAAATCCCCAACGCGCCTGACACGCAAACCCTAAACCCTAAACCCTAAACCCTAAACCCTAAACCCTAAACCCTAAACCCTAAACCCTAAACCCTAAACCCTAACCAAAGCCAGGGCACTTCAAACCGAGCTTTGAAACACTCCAAAGGAAACCAGCAGCACCAGCAGCAGCAGCAACAGCGTGGCTCTTAGCAGCACCAGTGGTGTCTTCAGCAGCAGCAGCAGCAACAGCAGTATCCGCAGCAGCAGCACAGCTTTCAGCAGCCCCACCTCCACCCCCAGCAGCAACATCATCGCCACCATCACCATCATCAGCAGCAGCATCACCAGCAGCAGCAGCATTACCAGCAGCAGCAGCAGCAGCAGCAGCATGATCACCACCAGCGCCAGCATCACCACCCCCACCACCACCACCAGCATCAGCAGCAGCATAAGCAGCAGCACCACAAGCAGCAGCAGCGGCAGCAGCAGCATAAGCAGCAGCAGCAGCGAAGGCGGTAGCAGAGGGTGCTCGAGATGGAGAGGCGGGGCAGAGGAGCTTGGAATTAGAGAAGAAAAAGCCGCCCCACACCTAAACCCTAAACCCCAAACCCTAAACCCTAAGCCCTAAACCCTAAACCCTAAACCCTTGCTCACGCATGAAAGTGCACATCCTGGCTTTTGCGTCTGTCAAAGCCCTCGGAAAGGGTTTAAGATTTAATTTTTGAAATTCTTCTTTGGACATAAAAAGACTCTCCAGCGGCTCCGGGTGTACGTACACCTCAATGTTCCCGCAGCAGTACGGACCAGGGCCAAAACCTGCACGCAAACCCTAAACCCTAAACCCTAAACCCTAAACCCCAAACCCTAAACCCTAAACCCTAAACCCTAAACCCTGAACCCTACACCGCGCTCTCTGGGATCACGCTGCGAATCCTATGGGTTGAAGCTGTGCCTTTCACGCCCATCAATTTAGTGTTTAGGGTTTAGGGTTCAGAGTTCTCCGGCTAGGGTTTAGCGTTTAGGGTTCGGTGCTGCTGCGCAGGGCTTAGGGTTTAGGGTTTAGGGTTTGCGAGCTACTCTTCAGCGGCTTCAAAGAGACAAGAGGCAGGGTTTGGTGGTAGGCCCCAGGGGCCCCAGAGGCCCCGGGGGCCCCCGGGGCCCCGGGGCCCCTGGGGGCCCCCGGGGCCCCGGGGGGCCCCCGGGGGCCCCTGTCTTTAAGTGCAGCAGCTTGCAGCTGCAGCAAATCGAGGGGCTGCTGCAGCTGCGCATAGGGCTGGCCGTCGATGCAGATAAAGAGGCAAAGAAAAGGGTCTAGTCCTGGGATGCAGGGAAGTAAGATCTGAGGCGAAGTCCAAACCCTAAACCCTAAACCCTAAACCCTAAACCCTAGACACGGGGCCCCGCAACAGGGCCCTGTCGGCGCGCCGGGCAGGCGCCTCCGGCCCTCTGCGTGGGCCTCAGGGAGAGGGCTTTGTTCCCCGAGGGTTTAGGGTCGAAGGCCTAGGGTTTAGGGTTTAGGGTTTAGGGTTTACCCTGCCGTTGACGTAGACCTGGCCGTAAAGCTCTTCTTCCACGCAAACTGCATGCGCGAAGTCCTCGAAGTCTTGGGGCTGGACTTCGCACTTGCATGCAGCTTCGGCTGTCCTGCTGCTGCGCTGCAGCAGCTGCTGCAGCGCCCTCTTGCTGCTGCTGCTGCTGCTGCTGCTGCTCTCCCCCTGCCACAAAGCAACCACTGACAAACCCCCGCCCCGCAGCAAACCCTTGCTAAGCCCTCGCAGCGGAAGTCCAAAAACCCTCACAACTTCCACCCACGCATATCCTGCTGCTTCAAACCCTCGGGGGGCCCCCCCGGGGGCCCCCCCGGGGGCCCCAC